CTTCATTTTAACCACACTTCATGAACTTTAACCTGACTTGCTCCTGATCATAGGCCAAGCCATATACTGTTTCATGTCAAATATTGGGCTCGATATCTATTTCAATCAGTAATATTTCTGTGAAAAGACTTGTGTAATAACCCAGCACAATATGATTTTGTCTGTCCTGTCCTGAGTGTGTGAGTTAGTACAGATACTAAAAAATGTTTCTGTAATATTACAATTTGTCAGCTTGAGTAAGTGAGTGAGTGAGTTTAGTTTTACACTGCACTCAGCAATATTCCAGCTATATGGCGGAGGTCTGTAAATAATCAAGTGTGGACCAGACAATCCAGTGATCAACAGCATGAGCATCTATCTGCGCAATTGGGAAGCGATGACATGTGTCAACCAAGTCAGCAAGCCTGACCACCCGATCCCGTTAGTCGCCTCTTACGATAAGCATCATAGGGTTACTGAAGATCAATTCTAACACGGATCTTCACGGGTATTGTCAGCTTGATGTGTGAGGAGAGCTCAAAGTGAAACTTGACCTTACTATTTGTTGCTATGTACCATGACACCAATATCATGATATTATTTCACCATCGCAGGCTCTATCATTACCATACAAGACTACATATGTTGAATGCAACACACCAAGTTACATCTAAACATGGAGATCAAACCTTAACAATTGTCCTGTCACCCAAAGGAAACATGGACCCATGTATTCCAGTCCAACACAAGCAGCTCACCTGGTAAAATCCACTTTTGTGGAATATGTTGATTTGGCCCATGTTGCCTTTAGAGACCATTGACCCAACACACATTATTCTTCATATATAGCAAGTTCACAACCACAAATATATAGTGTATTTCAATATTCTGATATGCTTTAAACGTTCTTTAAACTGAAACATATTCTTACTTGGAAATTTCACCTGAATTTACGTATTTTTGCAATGTTTAAAATTACACAGAAAATTTATATAATGTTGTCCCAAATACAACAAATCATTGAAATACCAATTTTCAAGTTACTTTTGGAAACAAACCATGATTTTGCACTATATCCTAATGCAATGCTTGTCATGCTCCATGTGTTGGCCTTCAAGCATAAATAATATTTCCCACAATGCACCTCATACCTGAAACTAATGTACAGAGAGAAACGTATCAGCACAAATGTTCCTACATTCTTTTCCAGGTTTCAAATTATGCTTTGTACTGCGCTGTGGGTGATAATCAAGGAAATGGATAAAGAACACTTGTCCTTTCATGTTCCCTTATTTGTTTTCATCAGTATATACATACAATGTCATCATGATGTCAACTCTGAATTGATTCAGTATGTGTTCGTTTTATTACAATATGACCTAATTACAGCATGGCTTATATGAATATGAAACACAATTTATTGGCAGCAGCATTGGAGTGGAACAAATTATCCTTTTCATGGTTCCATGGTTTTCATTACAATATTCACCGTGAATATTACAAACAGAATATGTATTTATTTTCCAACATTTTCCAAATCCATCTTTAGTTCTTGGAGGCAAATGATGTTTGTCAGAACATATGCTTTGTTTAAATCAGCAAATGATGATAATTTTTGTTATCTTTGGATACACAAGGGTTTTCAGTTGTTGAAATGGAATTTGAAGAAAAAAACGACCAGAAAATAATCCTAAAACACAAGAGTGAGCAGTATTTTCTTTGTTTATTGACCTGTCAAGATCTGGCTTAGAATTGGTCTTGAGTAACCCATGCTTGTCATAGAGGCGACTATACAAGACTCACTAACATGGTTCATGGTTCATTCATGTCGCTGTATCCCAACTGTGAGGATCAATGCATAAATAATGTTGATCACTGGATTATCTGGTCCAGGTTCAATTATTTTCAGGCCGCTGTTATACAGTTGGAACATTGCTAAGTGTGACATTAAACAACAAACAAACATGCTTGCTTAAAAAGTGAGTACATACTAATACTTCACTGATTGGAATTTATTGTTATGAAAACCTGGTGAAATAAGAATTTCAGAAAATTTTTTAAAAAAAAGCTACACTGATATCTGTGCAAATGTGATGGATGTTGGGTAGCCTAGTGGTTAAAGTGTTCGCTCATCACGCTGTAGACCAGGTTCGATTCCCCACATGGGTACAATGTGTGAAGCCCATTTCTGATATCCCCACCATGATATTGCTGGAATATAAACAGTGAAAAACCAAACTCACTTATTCACTCACACTCCTGTTACATATCCCTGCCCCCATTTGGTGGCAGCGAGGGGATGAATAACTTAATTCAATTATGAGCAACAAACCTCCCACTGGTTCAATACTTTCCTACGTACAACACTGTACAGGGACATGGTATAATAATCCCAGCCCTGGGGACAAGAATCTACCTGTACATACACCCCAGCAGTCCAGGTGGACAGGCTACAACAAAATCTTCCTTCATGATCTCTTCCATCACTTAACAACCCATGTTTCATACATGCAATAAATTTGGACCCTATGAAAACAAGCAGATACACATACAATATTATGTAAACAAAAGGTTATTTAATTTTTTAGAGATGATTTATCATGGTGTGAATCTTGTACATGTAACATATTCCATTTTGATAACATCACAGCTCCCGGCAATCATAAACACCGGCAATCATAAACACCTGCAAGATAAGTCTTAAATGCAATCTCTCCAGGTAAGAGTGTGAAGGCAATATCATAGAAGTTACACTGTGAAGTTTCTGAGACCAGAAACATTGAGCATCCATTTCATATTGCTAATTTGTGACAAGTTACTTCTGTAGTGAGTGAGTGAGTGAGTGAGTGAGTGAGTGAGTGAGTGAGTGAGTGAGTGAGTGAGTGAGTGAGTGAGTGAGTGAGTGAGTGAGTGAGTGAGTGAGTGAGTGTTGAAGTTAAATTACATGAATAACACCATGTCCTGTTAATGAAGATTTGAGACACACACACTTTTTATACATTGCATGTTCTCAATTGTTTTTCAAACTCACAAACCACTTCCATGTGTCCATCCAATGGTTTCACAAAAGTGACGAAAATCAAGTTCACTTTCATCATCAACTGGGAGAATATCATACTGTTACAAATTCAAGAAGCTGATCATCCTGAACCAAAATCATTCTGGCACTGGTATCCACAGCTAGTAGTCTTGGTGTCGTTTACTACTACCATGAAATGGTAATGGGGGAAAGTTACAAAGTTTTTGTCAATAATGGACTGCAACATGTGTTATATTTGGAATTACACTTTCTCAGAAAAGTACAGATTCTGGTACCTTTTTGTGTTGAGTCCCATCTGGGATTTGAACCCACACTCTCAGTCAGGCACCTAATTGCCAGCTCACAAAGTCAGATGCCTAGCCCACACACTACTGAGGCTTCCACAATAATGTACTGTGTGATAAGTGGTATATTGTACCAGACAAACATCGTGAAACACAAGAGCAATGGTATATTGCTACAGCATCAAGTTTACCTCCATCAGCTATTCTAGTGGGACATTGTTGTCAACAATGTTTTTGTCTATAATGGACTATGTGATGAGAGGCATATTGTACCCCTTAAACATCATGAATTATAAACATACTGGCTTAATGCTACTACATCAAGTTTACTCCTATCCTGAACTATGGCAGTGGGATATTGTCACCAACAAAGTTTCCATCCATCTTGGACTACTGTAAACGTACTTATTTTCGCGTGGTGCAATTTTCGCGGAATTGACAGTTTAGACTACTTCGCGCGGTCAATTATTCGCGCAATCAGTAATTGCCCGAACCTGCCAGCTGTCTCTTTGGCCGCCACTAATAGCAGTGAAAACAAACAGAGTGGCTGAACCTGTCAGGCGGCGTTTATTGCCTACTCACAGGAAATCCCTATCTGTGCGATATACTAGTTTACACAGCAATCTGTTTACTCACGGAAGTATTAAGTGCTTAGGGAGTGAGATACCGTGATGCAAGTACTAGTATATAAAGAGATGAAAACCACATCAGTCTTATGTTCCGAATTCTGACGAACTGACTATGGCATTGCGAATGTGGTTGAAGAAAGCACCTACCCCCAAGACACCTGGACTTCCAGACCCAAATGAGTGTAAAGATGAGGCCTTTGATACCATGTCAAAGAGGAAGGACCTCATTCAGAGCGGATTTAAACAAGCCGGGTTGATTGAGTGTTAAATTGACAATCATTAACTTCTACTGTATATGAAGCTGTTTGTAATTTCAAACAAGCCGGGTTGTTGTGAGATGATTGGGTGCTAAGTGACTACCAGTATTCGCTTCATGATGTACTGGTAAAATCTTCATGAATAAATAAAATACTGCCTTATTATTTCTTTCCGAGTCGTTACATGGTAATCTGTTTTGTATCAAACCATCTGTCACTACGATTGGTCGAAATAGACCATGTGACCAATTTCAATGGCGGACACAACACACATTGCTGTTTTCGCTAATTCAGCGATGGGATTTGGCTCATTATTTACTAGTAATTATGGTTTGGGAAATCCATTACAGCGACAGTTAAGTATGATTCTTTATGCTACTATCAGTCGTCATTTTAAGATTCCCGTAGATTTCTGTCTTCAAACTTGATGTGTTATGGCAACAACTCAGGGGCGAGCGTGGCTAGACTGAATGAATGACAGGTTTATTCACGGTGTATAAATTTTCGCGCTAAAATGTTTTGCGCGAAAAGCGCGAAATATAATACGTTTACAGTATGTGATACCACATATACATCGTGAAATATAAACATACTGGTATATCAATACTACAGCAAGTTTATCCCATCCTGAACTATGGCAGTGGGATATTGTCACCAACAAAGTTTCCATCTATCATGGCCTATGTGATAAGTGGCATATTGTACCATCTGAATCATAAATAACAAACACAATGAACTATGAGAGTGGGATATTTTGTATGCGTATATCCATATAGTTAGATTGCAGGTGTATATCCCGATTATGTCTTACCTGTATTGTTGAGGTAGAAATAACAAAACATGTTTCCGGACTCCCGTTATATCCTGCCTTGATCTCCACATGTTTCACTTCAACTGTGGACAAACACTCTCTATCACATCCACAAGGAAGAGTATTCTCCCCTTTCTTCAAGGCCGGTGCGTTATCACTATTATCATCCTTGGTATTAATCTTCTCATTGAAGGACTCTCCCAGCCTCCCTGGACAAAGCTCAAACAGACTCTCAAGATCCGGATCTGGAGTCACCGATCTGGATGAGATTGTGTCCAATGACATACGATCAAATTCAAACTTAGATGAGGTATTATTTTCTTCAACCTGCTTCAAAATTTCAGCAAAGAGTTGAGTGATATCCTGGTCGCTGTCATCCGTCCCAGGGGTGTTGGTGGGGGAGGCACATATTGGGGAGGAGGGGGACAGGGGGGATACAGATGCTGCTGAGTCAAAGTTCTCGGCATCACGTGACAACGGCTGATCAAAGAACCCCGAGTCAGCTGTGGGAGAGGCTATAGCTGGGCTGAACACAGGCGGAGTGGTTGGTGTCAGGGGGGTCATTGGCAAAGTCGGGGATGTCGGGCTGGCTGGGTTATCGGGATCTTCGATCTTTTTGTTCTTCTTCTTTTGGAATGATCGGGGAAACTTCTTCTTTCTCAACTTCATCATGATTTGTTGAAATGAAACACAGTTTTCACAATGAAGGTCACACGAAGCAGACACTGTCCTTCAAGGACACAAGCATTTCAGGACATAGGTACTCCAATCTGAAGGAATGACAAGATCATCCCAAAACTGTTAAGTCAGGTATTCCAGTGTTGAATGAACAAGACTCTTCTTCACAGCTGTTGTCCGTTATTAAAAATCCTGTTGAGTCAGATATTCCTGTCGATGATGTACAAGACTCTCCAACAAAACTGTTCAGATATTCTATTGTAAATAAACTTTCATAACAGATATTTCAATGTGAAGAAACTGATATTCTCTTCAGCTGCTGAGTCACATACTCTCCTGAGAATGAACCAGAAGGCTTTCCTTGAAAACCCCAAACTCCCAAAACCAAGTGAGCAGGACATAAGACTCCACTTGCAAGTCTTAAGGTTTTAGTTGCATCACAATAATAGCCAATTAAGCTTCTTTACCCAGTGATTGCAATAAACACAGTTCAACAGGTCATAACAGGATTAGCAGCTTGCCACAATTGGCTGTAATGTCCCCATTCAAGTCTGGATTATAATCTTCCTTCCTGGGGTACCAGACAGATATCCACAGCAAGCTCCAACAGTGAACAACCTTACACTCAGCAAAAATGTCAATGTCTTCACAAAAAAGCCACAATTGGCTGTAATGTCCCCATTCAAGTCTGGATTATAATCTTCCTTCCTTCCACACAGATATCCTCAGCAAGCTCCAACAGTGAACAACCTAACACTCAGCAAAAAAGTCAATGTCTTTACAAAAATGGAAACAAGAACCCAACAAATCGGTCAATTTCTAGGGTAGTACTCCAGCTGGTTGATTCTGAATGAACATTTGTCCAAGCTGTTTATGAATAAATGATCCACAAAAAACCTGTTCCGCAGTCAGACGCCGAATACATTAAATGGGTCGCTGTCAGGGATCATTAAGGAAGATATCAAAACATAAACATAATCTCAGGCATCAAATTTCCTGTCTCTCAAATCGTCTGTACTGTCTGATATAAAGTGTAACACTTGTAAATGGGTCTGTTGAAAATAGCCACAGTATTCATCGGGATATTTCTAGTAGGTATAATTACACACAAATTACAGGCTCTCCCACTTCAGGCTCCATTAAACACAAGGCTGTTGAGCTTCATTAACCATGCAAATCTAGCCTCACCTCTATGGAATATCTCTCCCTATACCTTCAATGAATGCATGGACAAAAATCTAGCTCAAAATTGGAAACTGTACACCGATTTCACAGACAATCTTTGTCCAGAGATGCAAAAATCTAACTTAAAATTTGAAACTGTACACCTCTTTCACAGACAATTTTTTTTCCAGAGATGCAAAAATCTAGCTCAAAATTGGAAATTGTACACCAATATCACAGACACTTTTTGTCCAGAGATGCAAAAATCAAGCTTAAAATTGGAAACTGTAATCAATTTCACAGAGGATTTTTGTCCAGAGATGCAAAATGTTATGTAGAATATATAAAGCCTTTGAAACTTGATGCATAAGATGAAGTTTGCAATGTCATATCATAAACCATTTGTTGATCGTGTCAGAGGTCCAGGTAAAGATCAGTTCCAACAACACTTGTGGATCAACAAAATGATTTGTCAGGAATAATAGTCCACTGATGAATAGACAATGGAGATGCAGTATCCAATATCAACCCAGGAACTCTCATAACACCACAGAGACTAATCCTGTAGGGAGACAGCGTTAAACTGTTTACATCTCATCCAAACAGTCAACTACACTCAGTCTTCACAACAGACAAGTCATTCATGAGACCTACAAGATATTTCCATTACAATGTTTTCATGAGGAAATTCAGTCGCTATTACACTCTGGCAGGTAACCTGATCCTTGTCAAGTCGCGATGAAGATTATCCGAGCTCACAAAGATGATCTTCATACCCATGGAACTGATATGATGAACTCCGCGGTGTGTGACTATAAGGTGGTTACTGGGTCAACTCCAGTTGTTTGAAGAAGATTAAATTCATTGGACGTACAGTCACAGGTCCTGGCCGCATCTACACGTATAAGCCAATATCAACAGTTCCAGCAGGACAACCCCTGGTCAGTCTTCTTGCTCAGGGACACGATGACAGTCACTGCTATGTAAAGAAACAAAATAGTTCCTAGTAGTTACAGCAACAAGACAAAGACGGAAATTCATGCAACAATGATTTGAGGAATTATTTCCTGTTAACACAAAGAGAATTACGTTTGAAAATCAAAAAGTGTAATCTACTATTAAAGAACTGAATGCAATAACTTCCTTCTGACGTTAGAGTACAAGTAAAAGACAACAGAAAATGATTTCCATATTTACTGTACAAGAAAAAGATTATATATAATTAGAATGCATTATATCCAGAATAAATGGAACACACATGACAAAGGTTCAAATAATTCTGGCAGTGAAACTGTTTTTAACTTACGCAGACAAACATGTACTTGCAGAATATATACACTCATACCAACTTATCATAAAAGTGGTCAGCTGATAGTTTCTGATAACTATAGGCATCAGTGATTGGTTATTACCTACTGTTGTGGACCTTTACTAAGGTACACATTTAACTTAATTCACTTATAAGCAATAAGTAAACTTCACTTCAAGAAAATTCAATAAAGAACACTAGAAAATGAATTACAAATTTAAACATTTTTTGTCAATATATAACTACCGGTAACATACAATAAACTGGGTCATTCAGGATGTCCAAAAATTGTTTCAAAAACTATGTTCACAAAAGTATGTAATAATTTTGTCAGACGCTTGAATAAACTTATGAAAAATAATCATAATAAATTTGTAATCGTATATAATATGATGATTTCCTTACCTAAAAACAAGAAAGAAAACAACAGATATCCCTCTTACTTGCTCGGCAACATTGATTCAAACGTTATTCACACTTGCAGCTGTAAACAGACAGCTATCATCAGCATTATGTTTAGCTTGGAAAACCCAGCTTTCTGAACAAGGAAATTCTGTTCTAGTTGTTATTTCCTATATTTCAATACTGCAGTTCAAATCATTGTAACTGTACCTGCCAATATCATTCAGTCCATTCAGGATATAGCCTCATTCAATACAGTAACACCACGCTTTGAATTTCCTCTGTAGGCCTGCCGTAAATCATGTTCAAAGTCGAGTCAGTTATGTCGCATATTCTTGGCCAATTCCTGTCGTAAATGCTTGTATAACATGATCGGCCCTACCCAATACTACTCCATTATAAGTAGATCATTGACTTCTGTCCCTGCCTTCAGGGCAGATCATTCAGGGCAGAGACCATTCAGGGCATACCAGTGAATGTCTGAATACTTCTCAGTCAATAATAGTCAACCACAGCCAATTAGAAATCATTAAAATCCAATCAAAACATTTTGTTGTGGTAATTAGAGCCTTATCACCCAGACCTCTGTTGCAGTGGACATGAATGTGAGTGAGTGAGTGAGTTGGGTTTAGTTCTGCTGAATATTATTTTCGTTGATCTCATGTCTTCTTGATGTGGGTGGAAAGCCTGAACAGCAGTTGTTGGTTTTATTTGAACATTTCTTTCTGCAAGGTAAATAACCTGGATTTTTTCCAAACCTGTATATGAGGATCCTGGAATGGATAAGGGAAGTAACTTTCACACTGAAGTGCCTTGGATCTACCTGCCAGAAATGCCTCAGATCTTGCAAAAGATGAAGCTGAAGATGTCACTAAGCATCAGGAATTGATAAATATAAAATCCTTGAGAGGTAAGGAAGAGTTCACGTCTCTCAGCTGGTGAATCCAATGTGATGCATAAGCGTGTGAAATCGACACCAAGTTCATGCTGATTATTCAACATCAACATCCTTCAACAATGTCACAATCAGTACTTGATACAGGTCCATATCACTCACATTTATGATGGAATAGAAAGTCATTTCATCAGAGATTGTCCGCTGTAAGAGGGCCCAGTCAAGTAGCAGATATCTCTACATCAGAAAGTAGAGCAAGCACTTCATTTCAGCATATCACTCATGTCCAATTCATTACACATAATAAAACCCTGCACACCCCTGAACTGAGATATGATAGACTACAGATGACTTCAACGTAATAAAACTTTTATGACATTCACAACACTGGAAGTTTGAACAAGCCAACATCTGACAAGACATCAAGATTTCTAAAAGGTTGTTGACGCATGAGAAAATCTCATCATCATTTCTACTAAAGAGTTAAAAACTATTTATATACATTTACTGTGTTTCAATTGAAATATCTTTATGTTAGATTTACACATCCAAAAACTCTTATAAGGACACAGCTGTTACACTCAAGGTTGATACATCATCATTCATTCAAGACGTAAATTCAGCCATTTTTTCAGATACGTAGAATTTCTTAATGACCCAGAATCAATACAGTGTATGAAATACCACGTTAATAATGACATATCCATCCATCACCAAGTGTTTTTATTGTCCCTTCTGTCAGAAGAAAGATTTTTTCCACGTAATCCCAGTAGACCAATCTCATTCATCTGTGTGGAGTCTGTCAAGGCTGAGACAGTAGCCCAGTCTATCAATCATCATAAGGTGTCAGCATGCTGTCAAATAGCTCTACCTTGCTGTTTCAAACACTGGTCCGACATTGTCATGTGACGCCATGTCCGTTACATCTCATCAATTTCTTGTCACCAGTCGTACCGACATTCTTGTAGCCTTCCTTGTAGAGAGTCAAACATTCAATGACTGAATCAAAGGCTTAGTAAAGTATTCATGGTTTTAAGGTAGACTTGTGAAGGAGATTTCCAAATTTGACAAAAATAATATTCCATGCAATTTCCTACTTTGACTTGTACAATAATTCTTCAGTGAACAGTTGATGTCTTTGTCATGGGTGGCAATGGTGGAGCAGGATAAGCTCAAATTTCAATGAACACCTGGTGTCATCACTATTTGACAGTGTCTGAGAACATGCTTCCGATATGGCAAAGTCATGCATTGCTTTTTGCTCTTCACAGAAATTTGACCCGTGAAGGTCCAGGTTAGAATGAATCTTCACTAACCCATGCTTGTTGTAAGAGGCAACTAACAGGATCAGGTGGTCAGGTTGACATGTCATTGGTTCCCAATTGCACAGATCGATCCTCATGCTGTTGATCACCGGATTGTCTGGTTCAGACTCAATTATTTACAGACTGCCGCCATATAGCTGGAATATTGTTGAGTGCGGCTTAAAACTAAACTCACTCACTCACTCAAAAAGATTTCATTCCTTATGGAAATATGTTTTGTTACTCATAAATACTTTATCGGATTGAGTTCTTTTCTGGATCCTTGCATTCATGTTTAGTAGATCAATAAGCAATATTCCAGCTATATCTGTACATTGTGAAAACACCAGTCTTGACTAGAAAGGCGGCAAGTGGTTAATATTACAGTTTCTGTTATAGTAAAGTTTCTATATAAGATGCATAATGTTTGTCAGATTTATCCTGTTCTTGCCAAAAAATATTTGCAGAAATTCTGTACATGTATTCTAATAGAGTTTGTAGTATAAACTTTTACATCAACTAACATACCAGTCTGTACCGGATACACCAGATTTTACAATAGTGTTCATGGCACACTACATCAAACTGTCAATTTTGTTTCACACGTATATAGTTTAGAATGCTTTATGTAAATCACTGCTGTGTTGAGAAAGGGGTGTGTGCATAATACACATACCAAACAAATTTAGATTCCTCTTCCCAGTGTCAAGACATTCTGACAGAACATAACACTTAAATAAATTGTAAACAAATCAGAATAGATTAATTCTGTGTGCTGCAATAATATGCTATTACTCTTTCTGAGACAATTTTATTTTATGAGACAATTGCACACGATCAATTTAATCTCTGGAAAACTACAGTAAATGTAAATCATCATTTCTAGTTTTTTTCTTCATATTTCCCATTTTCATTCACCAAATTTGTTATTTTGTTTGTTTCCCTGAAGCAGTACCATGTAGTATTTGAAATTGCAAATTTCTCTAAACATTTCATGATTTGGGTTATACATAAACCTCTAATGTGCCCTATGCTGAAGAAAGTATGGTAATCAAAATATCAATTTCCTTTTAAAGGCTGTAAAATAGCTTAATTTAAGTTGAAAAACAATTTTGACAGTGGTATAAGTATTACTTATATACAGAAGCATCATTCCCCATTTGTCCAAATAGCCCAGGCACATTCATGTTCTGTAGCAACTGCCATTAACATCAACAATGATTAAGGCATCGGTTTCCTCAAATTGAAGATGACATCTATTTTGGGTATTTACAAGGTATCCCACCCTCTGAACCCTATCATCAACTTCATAAAACACCCTCCAACAATATCATCAACTTTTATTATATGTCTGATGATCACAGGTTTCGAAAGTCAGAAGTAATCACATCTCGTGTGCCCCGACCTCCAGGCCAGTCAACCGTTCAGTCCAAGCACTCAACACAATTATTTTCGTCAGCTCTCCGCCTGACATCCATCGTGTAATCCTAACCAGTCTATCCAGATTCGTCTCCTCCCAGTCCTTGTTTCAGTACAAAGCCTGCACCTCCATGCTTTTGATTATCTGTACAAATTGGTCTGTCATCCATGTTGCTCCATGATTTTGTGGACGGAGACTAGCGGTCTGAGAGATCTAGGTTGTTCAGTCTTGGCTGTCTCATACCAAAAGCAATAGCAGATGGTACTTGTTGTCACCCTGCCTTATGCCTGGGGTAAGACAGAGGATAAAACAAGGAATTTGTTGCCACTGTGGTATCAGTATGGCCTCATCCATATACTTTCAGGGTCTCTTTTGTTTGTTTGTTGTTGGTTTACACCACATTCAGCAATATTCCAGCTATATGGCGGCGGTCTGTAAATAATCAAGTGTGGACCAGGCAATCCAGTGATCAACAGTATGAGCATCGAACTGCGCAATTGGGAACCGATGACATGTGTCAACCAAGTCAGCGAGCCTGACCACCGATCCCGTTAGTTGCCTCTTACGACAAGCATAGTCGCCATTTGTGGCAAGCATGGGTTGCTGAAGACCTATTCTACCCGGATCTTCACGGGTCACACCACTGTCAGCAATATTCCAGTTATATGGTGCCGGTCTGTACATAATTGAACCTGGACCAGATAATCCAGTGATCTCAGGTTTTTTTGGAGTACTACAGCAGATATAGCTCTTGTGACTAAATCTGGACTGAAGTTATTACACTGATAATTATCAGTGACCTTCAACAAAATGAGGATTGAGAGCTGTGGGACTATGAGATCTCTGTCAAGATTTATGTATTGTTGTATATATGTGAAGTAGGACACTGAGATCTGAAACAAGATTTTAGTATTGTTGTATTTTGTAATGTTGAACACTGAGATCTCCAGCAAGATTTCTGTATTCCTGCTTGTAAGTACACTGGCCTCAGGAGATGTTAGTCAAAGTGTGACTTCCTCAAAGACGTACATTTTCTTACAAGAGGTGATGTGGAACACTGTCACCTCAGGAAGACATATAGGTGAAGCTGCACCTCCCAACCAGGTGCCAGGTGATTACAGGTAGACAAACACCATCACATGTAACCTCAGCTCCCAAACCTCGTCTCAACACAATGAGGTGGACATCTGAGCCGTGAGTGGTCAAGACAGTCTGTTTGTAGGTTCATCCATGTCCATTGTCCAGTCAATTGGGAGTGAAAGTGCTGTTCCTTTACTTGTTGCCTCACTTGACAAACACTTCATATTGAGAGCTGGCAAACAAACTGAAAGCTTTAAGCCATCCATTCATAGTCTGAGGTGACATATCAAACAGCCACGACAAATAATGCATGAATAGTTAATGATTTCAATGATGAGAATTCTTCAGGTGTCTTTGATGTTAATGCAAGCTTCAAAATGTGTTTCATTCCTGATAGATGGATGTGCTCCTTGACGGTTATTTTCATAGTGGAGTCATCAAATAGTTCATGAAGAGTGAAATTCAGCATTTCTTTTACTGATAAAATTACACAGAGACACACCTCACTAACTCTCACATTATTATTCACATCTTCTGGTGCTTCACTGTGATATATCTTGTTATTCCTCGACACATCTTGATAATCCATGTCACATCGTGTTGCAACACATCTTGTCATTCGATGACACATCTTGTTATTCCTTGATACATTGTGTTGTTATTCGACACATCTTGATATTCTGTGTCACACTGTGTTCTGATACATCTTGTTATTCCCTGACACATCTTGTTATTCCTTGATACATAGTGTTATTCCATGTCACATCATGTTATTCTCTGTCACACCTTGTTATTCCTCGGCACATCTTGACATTCTGTGTCACATTGTTGTGACACATCTTGATATTCCCTGACACATCTTGTTATTCATTGATACATCGTGTTATTCCTCGACACATCTTAATATTCTGTGTCGCATTGTGTTGTGATACATTTTGCTATTCCCTGACACATCTTGTTATTCCTTGATACATCGTGTTATTCTATGTCACATCATGTTATTCTGTCACATCTTGTTCTTCCCCAACACATCTTATTAATCCCTGATACACCTTGTTATACCTTGATACATCTGATAAATACCTCACATATCTTCTTCCCATGAAAATAATATTATTCCTTGACATTTTAGCTATTCCCTGACATATCTGTGCATTTGTATTTATACTGTAAACAGACCCTCATAAGTAGATGTGCTATTATCAACTCGGATATCCATGCTATGCTATGCTATCAATCCTGCGTTGCCCAGGGTTGGTCACACACAGACACTGCCCACATTCCATCAGTCAAATATCCATCCCATTAGCAATACCCATCAGCTTGTGTCTCTCACATTGGTATTTGAGTGAAATCATGCAGAAATGATACCCACAAGATAATTGGAAGACTGAACAAATAGTACGGTCACCTTGTCACACTGACCACGACTTTCAAAGGAAATAGTTTGTATTTAAAATATACATACTTAAGACAATGAATTGCATTTGCATTCTGTGTCACGCTGACCAACACAGAACAGAAACTAACTCAAATCACCAATGGGAAAGATCTAAAATAATTGTATTTCACTGCAAATTTCAATTTTCCAACATCATTTGTACCTGATTTTAATTGGGACATACACACTCTGGTTCTGATAAAAAAAATTTCTCATTTGTCTAAAATATCAATATTAGCTTTTTACAACATATTTGAACCTTGTCATGCAGTTTTAGACAAACATATTTGATAACCTGCATGTAATTACAAAAACAGAATTCATAGCTAACTTACCTATTTTGTATATCCATTTCTTCAAACCAAGCTGAAAACAGAGGTATCCAGGCTCTCGAAAATGAAATCTGTAGATGCACGCTGTCAAACTTATATCTGTCAAACTGAAAAGGCGAGACCTCTGTCCAAACCGGTAACACTTCAGACCAAAGGTGATCTCTACAGGAACATACCAATGTGGAAAACCCCTTTAAAGACGGACACTAATGTCTACCGACTGCATCATTAGCAGTGACCATCAAGAGTTCCCAGCTTGATGATCGAAAGTGTCTCCCATCACACCACACTGAACTGACGCCCACAAGTACACCGCCACCCGTGCTACTCAGCCCCGTGAAGCTCGTCTGCGGCGGGTGTCGAGAAACAGGTGCTTGTATTCACCCACTGATACTGTCAACATTGGTTCAGCGTGCTTAATACGCCAGCCACTCGTGCGAGACTGAAGGCTTGGTGGGTCACTATGTATGAACTGACAGAGGCTGTATAGGAATATCTTTCTATCACTGAACTTGATCAGTACTAAACACTAAAAAGAAAATATCTCGGAGCGGCTTAGTTTTTCAGTATGGGCAACTTACACACTTTGGAAATGCATTATCAACATTAATACAAATCTGAAAAGATGTGTTTTTTGCTCACATTCATCTTCAAAGACAACGAATGAGATCTAAATTTAACAGATACATCATTGATTTAGATCATCACATGCTTATAGTCCCAGATCAACATAACTTGGTTTGGGTTGCCATTTTGTCAAATATTTCTGTCATATTTGGCAAAAAAAATATATGTCTTTTCACAGTGTTTCAGTAGATTTTTGGATTTTATGTTTTCAGGCTTCATACGTTTTTCTGACAGTCACGTTTATTTTGCAACTGCTTCACTTCAATAAGAGATGCTCTACACACCCACAAATCATAAAGTCTTGGATGATGGTCTGTTTATAATAAGATAAAGTTGTCTTATATATGTGATTCAGATGTTTTACAGTAAACTGTTGTTCGTATCATTTGAGTAAAGAAACTATGAATGTCCCTCCCAAAACCCATCATATGAGAATACATCTGTGTATCACCATAATATGAAGATGTATTTGAATCACCTTCACAATATCAGTAATGAAATACACCTTAAGTTGCCAAACCAGGTAGAAATACTCACTAATAAAATGACCCTATTAAACAAACATGTAAATTACAAAAGACTTATTTTATTAACCCCTGCTGTGATTGTCATAAACAGACTATTTAGGTTTACTGGTCACATGACCCTCTTGCAAATGAAACAAAATGGTATGCATGTTATGCAGACATTGAATATATTCTAAAACCCTTTTAGCATTGTTCTGCTCTAACTGACAAAATTAATTGACAAATACAAGATTAACATTAGATAGTAACATGAAAACTGCATTGACACAGTGAGTGAGTATCTGTGCCAATGAATGACCTCACAGATGACATCTAACCAACAGCTTCTGCGAAGGGAAGTAAATGACATATCAGTGGAAAAACAGAAAGGACTGAAACTCCAATACACACCAAGGATGAGAATGGAAGCCAGTATCCTAAAACACTGCCAGGAAGATCCACTGCCGCTGTTGATGATGATGACAACAATGACGATGACGATAATGTTGATGATGATGATGAATTACGTTAGAAACATCTGCACCAATACAGTTTGTTTTGGACCATTAACCCTTACTATTACAAAACAATATCGCCATCTGTTGTAAAACCATTTTTCAATTCAAATGCCATCATTACATTTATGTTTACATGGAAACAGCATCCAGAGTGGAAAACAAAGTGGCTATTGATCGATGGTAACTGAAATGTAAAATAGACGGGTCCTTTTTTATTCCTTATGAATGTTTTTAGACTTTCAGTAGTGTAGTTAATTGCTAGTCAGGCCTGAGGGTAATTGGTCACAAAACATGTCATATGGTGAGATCAGATACATAAAAGATGGGCTGAATTGCTGACATTATTCATATGGAGGTGTGGAGGGCAAGGATCTGGGATCTGTCAGAGAGTAGCCACTTCAAACACTCCATTGTGCTGGCTGATGAACAAGTACTAAAAGTCCATCTCCTGACTTCAATAGTAGCATTGTAGGGGGAATGCAGTCAACCAGTCCACTCAGTGTCACAGGGTATACATGGGATATAACATAGCTGGGCTGGTGTAGGTTGGGTGGACAGGTTGGTGGGTTGGTGGATGGACGGGTGGATGTGTTGGGTGGATGCATGGTTTGTTGGGTTTGTGGGATGGATGGGTGGATGTGTTGGGTGGATGCATGGTTTGTTGGGTTGTTGGGTTTGTGGGATGGATGGGTGGATGTGTTGGGTGGGTTGGTAGGTTGTTGGGTTGGTGGATGGATGGGTGGATGTGTGTTGGGTGGGTTGGTAGGTTTTTGGGTTGATGGATGGATGGGTGGATGTGTTGGGTGGGTTGGTAGGTTTTTGGGTTGATGGATGGATGGGTGGATGTGTTGGGTGGGTTGGTAGGTTTTTGGGTTGTGAATGGACGGGTCGATGTATTGGGTGGGTTGGTAGGTTTTTGGGTTGGCGAATGGATGGGTTGATGTTTTTGGTGGGTTTGTAGGTTTTTGGGTTGGTGTATGGATGGGTTGATGTGTTGAGTGGGTGTAATGGTTTGTTGGATTGGTGGGTTGGTGGATGTGTTGAATGTTGAATGTGTGGGTGCATGGCTTGTGGCGTTGTTGGGTTAGAGAACTGGTGGATGTGTTGAATGGATGAATGGTTTGTGTGGTTGGTAGGATGGTGAGTCTGTGGGTTGGTGGGTAGCTGGATGGATGAGTAAATGGATGTGTTGGGTGGGTGCTTGGATTGTTGGGTTGGTGGGTTGGGCTAGTGGGTTGGAGAATGGATGAGTTGATTGGTGGATGTGTTGGGTGGTTGATGGTTTGTGAGGTTGGTGAGTGGGTGGGTTGGGTTATTGGTTTGGCGGGTTTTCGGATGAGTTGATGGATGAGTGGGCTGAGTGGATGGTTTGTTGGTTGGTGGGTTGGCGAGTCAGTGGGTTGGTTAGTGGGTTCGCAGGTTGATGGACTAATGTATGGATGAATGTGTGGGCTGGGTAGATGTTTGTTGGTTGGTGTGTTTGTGGATGGATGGATGGTTTGTTGGGTTGGTGGGTTGGTGAATTGGTTTGTTTGTGAGCTAGTGGCTTGATGGATTAAAAATAAGGTGAATTGGTGGGTTGATGGGCTGTGTGTTGGTGGGTTGAAGGTGGATGAGTGGACGGAGGTGTGAGTAGGTTGAGGGGATGGGTTGGTGAGTCAGTTGGTCTGTTGGTCTAATAAGGAAGTGTGAACAGATAGTCACCTTGTCACACTGACCACGACATTCGGAGGAAGTGTGGGGTGATTGAACATTGTTGGAATGAACCAGTCGCTGAAAGGATGGGTGGGTGGATGGTTTGGATAGATGAGTGGATGGAGGTAGATGGACGAGGCAAGTGAGAGAGTGGGTGGGTACATAGGTCGGTGGGAGAATACAGATGATATCAAGTATGGAAGAGTCACTGAAGTGTTAGTGATAAATATCTGGTTAATAGTTACAGCTTTCAGATAAAACCATTGAATAACTTGTCAAACCCAAGAAGTTAAAATGATTGCTACTTTAATGCCTTCACCTGATTTGGACAATGACAACATGTTTTTGTGTATTTTTCATGCTGACGACAGCATCTTCATGGCGCTGTGATGTCTTCAAGCAAGATCCCACCAGATAACCCGGTCATAATGTGATTTCTGGATGATAAATCATCACTGAACGTCTCCCCTTGATGACCTCCTACAGGGAGGGTCTACACATCACACCCTCACCATATCCATTTTGAAATAAATTTCACACAAAATAAAAAAATAATCATTATCTTAACCTGATCATACAAAACAATATAATTACAACACTATGCAAACATTTTCCAAAAATGTTAAATTTGTATAAACCTTTTTTGGTTGTGTAATTAATGTTTGTGTGAGGAACAGCACCCCTTCCATATCCTCATATAGGACAGTCGTATGTCAAAACAGGTGCATCTTCATCAAGATCCGTTGAATCCTGGTACAGGCAGGTAGTGAGGGTTTATAGAGGACTACATGCTCTACTGGAAACACAGGCATCAACAACTGAGATACTAATCTATCTTGTACATTGCCACAAAGGTTTTTCATCATACTCAAAATTCACCTTTTGTCGATTCTGTTTTTGAGAACTATTCTTCAAGTTAAACATCCATAAGGATGGGGATCATAGGGGATGGTTTTATGCCCTTTAAGAGACATATTCCAGTGATATCACAGCAGAGGACACCAAGCTTTAGACATAAAGTGCAGCGATATCGGGAATCAAATTTGTTAGGGTAAGACAAGCCGATGCTTTAACCACTAAGCTACCTTGCCGCATGGTTGTTGAAGTTGTAGGAATTGTAGCACGTGAAGCTGTTGTCAGGTGAGGTAGCATGAAGATATTTTCTTTACGTATAAACAAGGCACCTGTAATTAACCTGATGGCCTTGTATTAACAAGGTAACCAAATCATGATAAAAAATGTTATTAAACCGACCACCTGAAAGTGAGTGAGTGAGTGAGTTGGGTTTTATGCCGCTTTTAGCAATATTCCAGCAATATCATGGCAAGGGACACCAGAAATGGGCTTCACACATTGTACCCATATGGGGAATCGAACCCGGGTCTTCAGAGTGACCCACCTGAAAGTATACAGATAAACAGTTATGCAACAGCTGAGCTCTATTTTGACACATTAGTAGTTAATAAACAGATCACCTGTAGTTTGGCAGATCACCTAAAACTGAACTTATCACTGTTGTCAAACAAATCACTGTTATTAAACCTTGTTATCAAAGTTATCACCTGTTATCAAACAGATCATCTGTAATTAAACAAATCACTGTTATTAAACCGATCACTTGTTATCAAACAGATCACTGTTATTAAACCGATCACTTGTTATCAAACAAATCACTGTTATTAAAGTGATCAGCTGTAACTTAACAGATCCAACAGATCACAGTTATTAAATAGACCAGTGTTTCTAAACCAATCACCACAGATGGCTGATATAAATCAGATCACTTTTATTAAACCTAACACATGTTACCCAACAGATCACTGTTATTAAATAGATCAGTGTTATTAAACCAATCACCTGCAATCAAACAGATGACCCGTTATTAAACAGGTCACGTTTAAGTTAAACAGATCACCTTTAATGTGAACCTAACGTACAAGCAAACATACCTTCAGCCAACACTAGAACATGGCTACCCTGTTCGACAGTTACAGTATATTTCCCTGTACCCAACTTGAGACATATATATTACATTCTCCACACACTGAACACATGTACCTGAGGTCACAAGGGGTCACCACAGCAGGAACAGAAGAACTATCAATGCAACCACCACTTAAATTACACTCATGTACATTACAATGACAAACACCATTTGTCTGAAATCTTGCACATTGATGAAAGGAGAGACATCTGAGCCCAGGACAAGCCAAGAGTAAATATCTCCATTTCATTCTTAACTGCCAGTTGTCATGAAAAGTGGAAATTCAACTAGGTGAAAAGATGAATTTCAAACTGCACGATGAAAAGACGAATGTTGTATTTTCAAATGGTGAAATATTCAATATGTGGTGTAACTGCATTAATCTTCTTGACAAACAGACAATTTTATACAACATGGATGGAAAGGTCTCTCCTTTAGAAGTGTGCCTTCGGCTACGGATGTTGCCCTTTGAAATTTAAGTGCAGCAACAAGCCGAGTTCTTTTGATTAATAACAAATAAGTTATTTGAAATGTTTGTCTTTTATTCATGCAGTCTATACTGTTAGACTTTGTGTCAGTGAAAGTTTTAACCTTTGAAGTTTCCATTGGGCATTATGAATGTACTGCCCAGGGCCCCGTTTCTCAAAGCTCTCGTAAGCCTAAGATCTCGTAACCTTTCTCGTAGCCTTCGTACATCATATGTTACAGTATAGGAGATTCGAATGCTACGAGAAAAGTTACGAGATCTTAGGCTTACGAGAGCTTTGTGAAACGAGGCCCTGGACTCAAAAGGCTGGGCTCTAGCCTCAAAGTTTTTTAGTTTAATAGTCCACTCTGCAATATTCCTGTTGACAGAAGTCATTCAAAACAGTTGTGTTTGGACCTGACTATGGAGTGTTTGAGTGAGTATGTGAGTGTGTTTAATTTTACGCTGCACTCAGCAATATTCCAGCTATATGGCTATATATCTGTAAATAATCGAGTCATGTTGTCAACCAAGTCAGCAAGCCTGACCACCCCACCCTGTTAACTCCAATGCTTATCCCAACTCCAAAACTAATCCCAACCATAACCATAAACCCGAAACCTCATCCCAACCCCAGTCTTAATCTAATCCCAATTCTGAATCTTATTCCAACCTCAACTCCAAATGTCATCCCATCGCCAACCCCAACCATAACCCCATCCCTAAACCGAATCCTAACCCAACCTTGAATCTTATCCCAACCTTAACTCCAAACCTTATCCTAATCCAAACCCCAACATTTATCCCACCCCAACCCCTTATCCAACTCCAACCCCTTATCCCACCCAAACTCCTTACACCCCAACCCATTATCCCAACCCCAACCCCTATCCCACCCCAACCCCTTATCCCACCCCAACCCCTTATCCCACCCCAACCCCTTATCCCATAAAGTTTTCCTGAATACCATCATGATTTCTGATTTACAGCCCATGACACACATGCTCCATACACAAATAATTCAATGGGGAGACCCGCAAGAGACGTATAAGCCTTCCTACACATTTGGAAAAAAAATAATCAAATAAGAGCACCATCCAAAGTCTGAATACCCACAACACACCAATCAGTCAGGGTATTAAAACGAATGAATGACATGCTATGAATGAAATTGACGCTCAATAAACATGTGTCAGTCACACTCTTTCATCTGACACACGAGCCCTACCTTGCAGTTTCACTTAGTTGTCAATAGCATGTGTACCTGAAACCTGTATGTAATTTTAAATGAAGGAGTCAACTAACCTTGAGAAATAGTCATCATTTTCTGATCTTCACGCCAGGCTTATAAAATATGAAAACAATTTCACAATGACATTATCAACACATGTTAAAGCCTGCATTGCAATACATTGGTTATTCATGGATGTGTGCTTCATGAAAAAAGTGAAATAAATGGTGCAAATCTATATTATATGTATATTTACATACTGAACGAGTTACACTGTAACTAACACATTCTATCCATGCATATACAAGATCCAAGGTAGATACTTTAAAAAATGAGTTGTTGTGATGTAGCGTTGCAGCAAAAGTACATATTTTCCTATTTTGATGAAAGGTATATTTGTATATTACGATTTTTGATAAAGCACATTTGTGTATTCTGATCTTGAGTACACTTGTGTATTCAGGTCTTGGTTAAGGTTCATGTGAGTACTCTGTTTAAGTTAAGGTATATCTCTGCATTCTGACTGGTTCAGCTACATTTCAGTATTCCAGTTTCGGTTAAACCACATTTCAGTATTCCAGTTTCGGTTGAACAACATTTCTGTATTCCAGTTTCGGTTAAACAACATTTCTGTAGTCCAGTTTCGGTTAAACCACATTTCAGTATTCCAGTTTCGGTTGAACAACATTTCTGTATTCCAGTTTCGGTTAAACCACATTTCAGTATTCCAGTTTCGGTTAAACCACATTTCAGTATTCCAGTTTCGGTTGAACAACATTTCTGTATTCCAGTTTCAGTTTAACCACAAATTTTGTTTATGCTACATTTGTGCATTCTGATTTTGGAAGGGTATACTTCACATACAGAAAAGTACAAGTCATCAGACTGACTTGGTTGGTGCACATCAAATCCCATCTGATGGATACTTATAATGTCAATCACTGGATTGACCTGTCCAGAGTTGATTATTCATAGACAGCCATCAGAAAGCTGGAATACTGATTGGGTTAGTGTTTGACTGACTGACTGACTGAATTTGATTTTACGCCGCTTTTAGCAATATTCCAGCAACATCACGGTGGGAGGACACCAGAAATGGGCTTCCCACATTGTGCCCATGTGGGGATTCGAACCCGGGTCTTCGGCGTGACGAGCCAACGCTTTAACCATTAGGCTACCCCACAGCCCCCGTTAGTGTTTGACAACAAAGAAAGAACCAAAATTACTATGTCAGTCTACCAACTAAAAATGATGGAAGAA